TGAGTTATTTTAATGAATTATTGCGATCAAATTTCTGAATAATATAGGGTCTGGGGAAATGATAGGAAGGAGAAAAATAAGACCTCAGGCCATTGTGAAGACCAAATCTAAGACATTTGGCACATTTAACAGAAATGTAGAATTTAAAGAGCTGATCACCAAGGGTGATTTTTCTGTTGATTTGCTTTTAAATGCAAGCTATGAAGACAAACTTGAGTTCTGATAAAGTAGATTAGTTCAAGAAAGATACCCTTAAATTGCTACGAATAGATGATTCTGGCTTATGTAGGATGGTCTACAGTAGACATGCACAGAAAACAGCAGCATGTATACTGTGTCATCATCAAGGCTGTGATTTGAAATTTGTACTGGGCCTTGCAAATTAAGTTGCTAGTCTCCACTTCTGGATGGACCATTGACACTGCCATGTGTCTATGGTGGTCAAGGTAAAAAGAGAAATTGAGAGCCATGCTTATCAACATTTCAAGTGACTGAATAGGAATTTTGTATTGACTCTGTAAAGCTTGCTGTTTGGATATGCATGCATGTGTACATGCATGTGATTACATGTAGAAGGCAGAGAATAATCTGGATGTCACACTGAACATACTGCCCATCCTGCTTTTTTAGAAACAATGTTCCTCACTTGCCTGGAAATCACTAAACAGGTAGTGCCGGCAATACAATGAGACTCACAGATTCTTGTGTATCTACTTCCCCAACTCTGGGAAACATGCTGGTCCTTTATTTTAATATGAGGAGTAAATCTGGGTCTTCATGCTTGACAGACAAGTGCTTTGTAGACTAAGTTATCTCTCCAACCCACAAAATCAACTTTGAAACAATATTTTTTCTAGTAATTAAACTAAATGAAGCCTTCCTCACAAAAGTGTTGAACCAAGTTTAGATGTGTAGGGAATAGGTGACGTAGGAACATGAGGTGTTTTGTGATTCAGAGCAGCATAGAAAAAGGAGATGAGTATCATCTAGCCAATCTATTTATCTAAAATCAATCTCTATCAATCATCTATCTATCCTATCTCTGCCTATCATCCACCTATTCATCTATCAGCTCTCTATCGTCTGTCATCTTTCTATCATCTGTCCATTCCTTATATAGACTACAGTTTATGCCAATATCAGTATTTTACATATTTCAGCTGTGTCTTCTATATTTCTGACAATGATTAATATTTCATTATTAATGCTAATAATGAAAAAGTCATTCCAAAAACTGAAATTTGGTGCTAACAAGGGCACACAAATGAATTTTCCAACACACAAACTGAAAACAAAGGAAAATTGGTGAGTCTCCTGTTCTATACACACAGAAGAAGCAGAGTAGCCTTCCAACTGGGATAAATGGCACCTGCCATTTATGGGGAAATGACATCTTCAAGCCTAATCTTCAGTTCTCATCAATAAAGTAACACATGAGGGAACTTGAATGCTCAGAGAAAATATTTGATCACAGAAGAGAAAATATTAAAGAAAAGCATCCACACAACACTGTCAATTATCTGGTGCACACCTGCACCCAGTGCACAGTGATCATGAATCATAAACTCCGGTGTCATCTTGGGGGCAAAAGTACATCCTATTGTATAAGGAATATTTATCATACAAAGAGGGAGAAAATGAAAGAGGAGAGCAAGAACCTGAAACTTCTAGAGCATTTCAAATGTCAGAAAAACAAATTAGTGCCTCTCACGGGCTCTGAGCTGCAGAGGGGCATGTGTAGGACAGCTTGCATTTAACTCAAACTGTTACAGGAAAGAATCAATTCTGTAGTGAGGTCAAGGCAGCAGGGCGTTTTTCTTCAAGACTAAAAATAATACTGCCTCCAGGCACGTGGGCTACATTCCACAGCATTTTGAAACTATTGTTAAAGACTTTAAATATGGAGAAAGATGAATGGAAAACACGCTGCAAGCCCACACAGAAACTCTGGAAGGAAGAAAATCCTACCCCACGCTATGATCAGCATAAAAGTCAAAAACAGAAGTCTGAGGGCAGCTTTGTTCTGAGGAATGCCATCCCTACAGCAGTCATCAAATTAATATTCACACAAAGAGGAAGCTACAAGCTTCCCAATCACCCTTAATAGAATGCAGAGGACATAATGAAAAATAGGTGTAGGTCTGGAAACTATGGTTGTTGAAGTCCATACTTTAACTGTTTAGGTACAACAGATTCTCCTGAAGCAAATCCCTTACTACGCAGGGTTTTCCTTTTCTTTTCACATTGGGTGGCATCGCCACATATGAAGAAAGGGTAAGGACAGAGTGCTGCAGACACCATTGTGCCTCTTTTTGTAAGATGCTGGAGGAGTAATTTGATGGATGCTTTTCAACTTAGGGGTCACAAGTTTAAACTGTGTCTCAGTGGATTATGAACAAAAGAGGTTGGTGGTCTATGAGAAACCCTTGATGGTGACACTCTTGTTCCTTCTTATCCAGTCTGTCAGCACAATTGTGTTCTTTCTTTTGCTTCTTCTAGCAACACAAAGGAGAATCGAAATGTCATCACAAGTATCTTTTTTCTAGCCTTTGTACCAAACAAATGTGCGATACGAGAAAGGCAAACTCAATTCATCTTGAATGCCCAGTTACTATTAGTCTCCTATAATAATGTTCCCAGATCTTGCTGGAATTTACTGATATTAAATGTAGGCTGCCTTATAAGCAAAAGTTATGACTTAGCTCATAGATTTTACAAAAGGGAAAATTGTTAGGAAAGATTTAATTGTGAACCATGAATATTTTCTTGACCTGAATCTTAAAAATTTAAGATTTATTGTGTTTTCTATTTCCTTTTCTTTAGCTAAATAATTTCTCATGGATGTTAAGTTTATATTATTTCATTTCAGTGAATGTAAATTAATATTTTATTTTGCACTCTATATCTTTATAATAATATGGTTAGGTATTTTGTCTAGCTAAAGAAATGCTGTATTTCTTTAATTTGCCAAGTAGAATTATTTTTTTAAATTATTCTTGACATTTTATTATTACTGATATTTCTAGTTGCATGTAATTTTGTTGCCTACAAATTCTATTAATAATTAAATAATCAAAAGGGAAACATCAAGTCACCTTGAGGAAAGCAATAAAATAAAAATTAAAAGAAAACCCCAGAAGTGCTTTGGAATGAGAAAATTCTGGCATTTTGAATAGCTAGCTATAGGATGACCCTGCCATAGTAAGTTTGGAGGTCAGCAGGCATAAGAGCAAAACCAAGTTATATCTTGTGTCACTGCAGTTAAGGGCAAAGGTTGATGCTGGGATTTTCCTCAACATATTATTTTAATAAATGTCTCTTAATGTAAAGTGCAACTTCCTCGAATACTTATGTTAGAAACTGGGTCATTTCCAAGCAACACCAGGAAAGATAATGTCTACTCTATGAACAAGTGAAGTAATATGATTAATTTTCATCTTTTTAAGGAACATTATTTGTGGGCATTAAAATTGTGATGTATATTATGAAATTTTCAATAAAACATACACACATGCATACATACACACAGAGATACACAAACTTAGATGCCACACATACATACACATATATGACACAGACATACACACACACAGACACATCTTGACACATATACACTCATATACACATTGACACATACACACAAATATAGACACACTCGCACACACACACCTGCACATGTACATGTACAGACATATACACACATGCACATACATTAACACAGATACACACACACACATACACACACACACACCCCTACCTATACATTGCTCATACTAACCTTTTACCCTTCACTACACAGCACATTCTGCTTCAATGTTACATTTAGACAGAAATGTAGGCAGATATATTTACATCTGGTTTTCATATGAAAGGAAAAGAGATAGTTCATCATTTCTGCTTCTCTTGAGCCCACTTTTCATATACCACTTCCTCCTCATACAGTCCTTTCCCTGATGATGGGGGAAGTCCTGTGTATATGTCAATAAAGCGCTGTTGGCCAATAGGGAACCAAGATAGGTGGGACTAGGAATCCAGGAGGACTCTGGTTAGGAGAAACACAGAAGAAACTAAGGAAGTCGAGATGTAACCGCCATGGGGTAGGAAGCCCAGAAATTTCTCTGGTAAGAGAAATACTTAGATTAACAATTATGGGATAAATACTTAAGTCAGAGCTAGCCAGTAAGAAACAAGCAAGGCCAACAGCTTCATAATTAATATAGCTTCCTATATGTTTATTTGGTGACTACAACGCAGCAGAGCCCAGGAGACTAGCAGGGGATAAACCAAAGCTGCAGCAAGGAAAAGGCTTCCCTTTACACCCTGATACCATTTTCATGATTGCTTAAAGCCCAGAGAAAATATTGACATCATATGTGAAATGAGTTGAAGTCAAAGGTATTTGTAAATATTGAAAACCAAGCTATTCTTTTACAAGAATCTCCTACACCAGAAACCTTGAGCTGTAAATAGAAATACCATCTTAAAACACCCTTTTCCTATAAATGAATCTACTGAAACACAGTCCTTAAAATGTATCTGTGGCTATAGGGGGAAAAATGAAGTTTGCCTCAAACTCTGAATGCCACTGTCAACCTGAGTCCAGTATTGTTCTCCCGGTATGACATTGCAGCCAAATAAACCCAGCTGGGGAAGCCAGGACAATGGTTGCCTGTGCTCTTCAATAGCAAAGCAAAAAATATTCAAGTGCATGCTTCTCATCACTTCATTTTCTCCTATGATCATTGCAACCAATCCCTGCCAGCCCGTGCTACATTTTCAACTGTGCAACCTATGGAATAGATCAGTGGTAGAAAATCCTCCTCCCCAAGTCCACATGCCACTTGTATCTGTCCTTTCCTCCCCAGAGAGAAACGTCATTCACTAGAACATAAGCAGGTGAACAAGGGAATCCACTCAGCCCTATATAAACTCACAAGTTTTCACATGAGCCTTTGGGCATGTTACACACATAGACACATAGATTCATATCCTAGGCATACCTGTAGGTTTAGTAAAACGGCACCAATCCTCATGGCTTCGCTGACTTCTAGACTGTACATCAGCTGTGGAAAGCGGGGAGGACTCTGGTTGTTGGGAGGGAGCACCTCGATGTACACGGTGCAGATGGAGTGCCTGTGAGAGAGAAAGGAACAGAGTGTTTAATGATATACACTACTCTGAAACTTAGAACGCATGTTTTATTTGTTTGCTGGGTTTACAGAACAAGAACATTTCAATTTTTATAGAAAGCAGTAAAATCAGGAAAGAATGAAACAGTAAAAGTTAACATCAAAATATAATGCCTTTGTGAAATTAGTGTAGTAAAAGAAAAAAAATTGCCTTTAGTACCTGTTCCTATTCTTTAGATGAATACTGTAAGTTAAAAAGCTGCAAAGGAGGGCTAATAAATTAACTTGCCTCAACTGATGATCCCATTTTTAATCCTGCTTAAAATAGCAAAGAAAAGCAAGCAGACAAACAAAATCTTTGTGTAAACACTCAGTAATAAAACTTGCCTTTCATGTTTTCTTCCAGTTAAACCAGGTGAAGAACTATTGATTAATTGAACACATAGCTACACATGTGAATACACACACACAAAGACAGAGAAAGAGACAGAGAGACAGACAGAGAGACAGACACAGACACAGACACACAGACACACACACACACACACACACACACACACACACAGAGCACGTACAGAAACAAGGAGCTGTGTTTTATTAGTTCTGTCTCTAACATCAGTCATTTACTGTAAATTTTTTGGGAGGAGCATTGAATGTCAAAATCATAAAATAATCCTAGGGTGAGTTTGTGGTAATAAACCTGGAAATATTATAAATTTTTGAAAATAAAATGAAAGGCTGAAAATTACCTTTAGTTAAAGCCTCTAATGAGGGAGTATTTTCATGGAGAAAATAAAGGCACTTCATTATCACAAGTAAAATTTTTACCATTTTCACATTGACTCTTTTAGCATCTTTGAACACTGGAGTTTTTGAGAAAGAAAGTTGAAGAACCAAGGTTTCTAAGACTTAAAAGCTTTTATAAAGAGAAACACTGACAAAAAAGATAAACAGGACACATGAATTCACAGATCTGGTCCTTTACCAGGAAATGCACACAGTATTTTATAGGAACATTCTCTGCCTCCTAAAATGTAGGCTTCATGCACTATTATTTTAAGTTGTATTTTTAGATTTAAAACACTGTAGTGGTAATTCCTGTTTAGGAGCTAGAATTGTCTTAAAGGAGTACAAAACATATATATATGTAATGTGTTCCAATGACACATCTTCTAGGGCTAATTCATTTTTTCTTTTTAAATGCTTTAGGTGCAGACCTCAAGCACTGAGACCTAGCTGGCAGTCTGTCCATCTGTAACACACACATGGCAGCAAGTGGCTGAGCTCCATGCAATCAGATGACACACCCTGTTAAGCGTTCTATTAAACTGGGGTCACTTTAAGACCTTATTACTTCCATTTATTGCAATACTGTCCCAAATTAAACTCATTTTATGTTAAAATATGTCAGTTTTACAATCAGTTCGTGTCTGAATTCATCATCTCTCATTTATATTTTGTGCAAGTGTCCTCACAAAAGAAAATGCACTTTTTCCCTGTTGAGATATATTCAGATGGAGATACACATGCAATGGTGAAATAATTAAAAGAGTCAATAATTAAAATTTAGACTTTAAAGGCAAATTAAAATGAGTTAAAACAGCAGTTTTCAACCTGTGGGTTGTGACCCCTTAGGCAACCCTCTATCTCCAAAAATAAAATTTATAATCACATTTATTATCCATAACAGTAGCAAAATTACAGTTATGAAGTAGCAATGACAATAACTTTATGACTGAGGGTCAGCACAACCTGTGGAAATGTATTAAAGTGTTGCAGCATTAGGAAAGGTAGGAACCACTAATTAATAATAATAAATCATTGTTTATAAGCTTGCAGGTGTTCCTATGCAAGCCAAATAACAGAAAGTTACAGTTTTTCTTATTTGGGTTTTTTTGTTTGTTTTGTTTTGTTTCGTTGTTTTTGTTTTCAAAACAGGGTTTCTCTGTGTACCCCTGGCTATCCTGGAATTTGCTCTGTTGATGTAACTGGCCTAGAACTCAGAGATCTACCTACCTCTGCCTCCTGAGTGCAGAGATTAAAGGCCTGCAGCACTACCACCTGGCTTTTCTTTCTTTTTTTATTTAATAGTTATAGTTTTAATGTTAGTGAGTCCCATTTCTGTGGTGAGAATGGGGCAGGGGGTGTCATCCTCATTTGGGCTTAATGCCCCTCACAACACACTTGGCAGTAGCCACAGGTGAGTCTCAGAAATTGGATGCTGTTGTTATTTGTTTTGAGAACCAGTCTGACTACTGGTTGACCTAGACTTTTCATCTATGTTGGTTTTGGGTTAATGCAGTCCTGTTTCAATCTTTTGCCTGTTGGGATTATGTTCATAAACCACCATCCCCAAACCAGTTGCCAGATTTTGTAGCCAGATAATGCTTTCTTGGGCTATTGTCCCTTCCATCATGTGACCTTGGGCTGAGACAGAGGACAATTCTGGTCCAGTGTGACCACCTCTTTCATTTACTCTTCCCCTTTCTTTCTCCGGTCCTCTTCATCGTAAATCAGGGGTTTGGATTGCTAGTCATGCTTCTAACACCGCCTTGGGATTTATCTCTCAGGCTTGCTAGGGGAAGATCATATTTCAGTTGCTCCTCTTCCATCCCTCCTATCTTGGCAGTCTGCTGGTGTATTTAACAAGCACCAGTCTTTTTGAGGACTACTACTTTTTAAAACAAGGTCTCCTCTTTATCCCAGACGTCAGCATAGTGTCATTCCTAAAATTGAAGGCCTAACCCATTAACAATAAAGTGATGACTTAATGCTGTGATAAACAGCAACCATTCAATGGCATAGTTTAAGTACATAGTTAAACTTGGCAGTTGCTAGGTAAATAATAACATTTTATGTGAGTATTTCATATTTACATTTATAGCCATTCCTAAATGCATAAAACCAGCCTTCTTCCTATCCATATTTTATTTTGTTAATAGGGCATGTATGATGCAAATAAGGTTCCATTTCTAAAAATGAAAAACATGAGGTCTTATTTTTCTTATTTTGTTGAAAAAAAAGGGTCTAAGCAGCACAAAAGAAACTTCAATAGAGGGAGCTGTTATGGTCTTAATGAGAAACAAGGCATTAGGGAAATTTCCAGGAATGTATAAGGGTGATCCCAACTAAGAATCTAAGCAATAGTAGAGAGGCTACCTTAAATGCCCTTCTCCTATGAGACTGATGACTACCTTAAATGCCATCATCCAGTAACTGATGGAAGCAGAGGCAGAGATTCAGAGCTAAGCACTGAGCCAAACTCCTGGAATCCATTTGTAGAGAAGGGGGAGTGATGAGCCAAGAGTCATGATCATGCTGGGGAAGCCCACAGAATAGCTGACCTGAGCAAGTGGGAGCTCAAGGACATGAATCCGACAGCTGGGGAGCCAGTATAAGACTAAACCAGACCCCCTGGACATGTGTGTCAGTTGGGGGGCCTGGGCTGACTATGGGGCCACTGGCATTGCAACCAGTATTTATCCCTAGTGTATAAATGGACATTGGGAGCTAATTGCCTATGGAAGAATACTCTCTCAGCCTAATACACAGTGTGGAGGGGGAGCTACATGATAAATGATGTGACAGACTTTGATGATCCCCCATAGAAAGCCTTACCCTCCCTAAGGAGTGGATTAGGAGTAGGATGGGAAGATGGTGAGGGGAATGGGAGGATAGGAAGGAAAGGGAACTGGGATTAGTATGCGAAATAAGATTGTTTTTAATTTAAATAAAATTAATTTTAAAAAGTAATGAATTTCTAAGACAGTTTTATGTCTTAAAAAGTCATGTTGGACCGCCCAATTTTACTAGCTTGGTTAATAATTTTAAATAATCACAAAGATTAGGTGATTGAATTAAAGTTGCCAAGCTCATTAACAACTGCAGATAAAATGAAGGGGCTTCTGAACTCCTTAGGTCTCAGAAGAACACGGTTTATGAAGCATATAAGAGAGGTTTTCTTTATTTATCTGATGGCTGTGACTATGAAAGGGCTTTGCTTTGTTACAAATGATGGTATCTTATTCCAAATCCTAAAGTATTTGAAGTCTTAGAATCAAACTACCAAAATCCCAATATTTAATTAGTTTTCCATAACTGAAACTTTATCCATGATGAAGTGTATTTATTTATTGTGAGGGAAAAATAAAATATTAATGAAGAAGAGCCAGAAAGATGGACCTAATACACTTTGACTTTGAAAATGTCATAATTTAAAGAGATAAAATGGCCTAATTTTGTATCACTATGATACTAATCAGTATGATTATGCTTACACGATTATATATGACTACTTGTTCCTATGATAAAGGTGACTAGTGTTTATATTCTCTGCAAGACTTAAAACAGAGAAATCACAGTGGGCTTTTCTTTGTTCCTTCCCCATTAATAACATGCTACGAAAATCTATATTTATAATTCATTGCTTATGGATTCCAGTTTACTATCTTGGCAGAAAATACAGACAACTACAGAAGCAGAAACTTCATATTTCAGTCCAACACAAGAGAGCACTTATCAAAGATGTTTCTTCTTTAGCGCTGCCCCCCTCCCTCGTGTATTAGGCTGAGAGAGTATTCTTCCAGAGGTTTCAGATGCATCACACATATGCAATACACAAAGCCTCACAGACAGAGGGAGCAGTTATGCAACTTCATTGAGGAATAGACAGGAAAACGGTAAATTTTACACAACTTGGGAGGGGGAGCATGCCAGAAACAGAAGGAGCTGTTGAAACTGGAGTGTACAATCATTCAATACCATCAAGTTTGAACTTCATCTTGGCAGTGGGCTAGTCAATACATTTAAAGCAAGCCGCTGATCCAATCAACTGTTTCAAGTATCCTCATGATGTCCTGCCTTCACCTACATCCCGTCTTTGCCCTTGTTTCTCCCTGACATTTCCCACCATGCCTGCATACATGTTTATAGCCACTGCAGCTTTCCCATCAGGCCTTTCTTTGCCTTCCCTTTATCTCCAGTGTTTCCCCCACAAGATGAGGAACTTTGGGAATCCAGTAGATTTTTGCCAAAACAGACGAATATTTGTCATGTCTTTATCACCACAATGGAAATTTTTCTATCAGAGAACATTATTTTGTCATGGGTTAATTAAGTATTAAGTTGGATCCCATGACAAAAAAATAAGAATATAAGAGGATACCATTTTGTATGTTAATTATTTTATGGGGAGCTATTGGGATCAGCACTGTTTTCATTCCTGATAATAGCAATAATTCATTCCAAGATTAAGCAATATTTACTCAATTTTATTGCGCTAAATAACTATATTATTAACCAACAGAAACCACTACAGTAAATGATAATTAATCATAGGACATTTTTAACCCTTTGCCTTCTGTCTGTGTGTTTGTTCTTATCATAGACACATACAGAAAAAAACACACAAAAGGATAAAGAAATAAACCTAATAATCCACGGATGGATTTCTACTGCTGTCTCCCTGTGAACTGGTCGACAATTCACTAAGCCTGGAGTTATAGAAACTTAATGTCATTTTATATTGGGTCTGAGGTTCAATACCATTTAAATGTACAAACCTAAGGTGCAAAACTGAAAAGAAAAAATAGAGAATGCCCCCAATTCTGCTTGCTGTGCCAAGGTTTTCATTGCTATTACATAATGACATGTGTATTCCACCATTGCTGGTGACATCAAACCACAGCTGTTTATACTCGTATGTTGGTAACTTTCAAATATCATCTTCCTTGTCAAAGGAAATACTGAAAGCCAAGCGTCCTGACTCCAGTTCACTCTCCAACACTATCTGAAGGCTTAATTTCTCTGCAGAAAGCAGTGAATGTCGTTACCCAGCAGCAAACACAACATTATCCCCACAGGTGGAAGGGAGGGGGTGGTGGATTTTATTTTCTGCTGGTTCCAAATGGTGTCTGAAGCCTGTATTGATGATACAGTAGTAAGCATAGCTGCCTCCCACTTGATGTCTAATGACATATTGTAAGACAACCTTTTAGCATCCAATCCATTTAAAATAAAAATAAAAAGCTGATGCCACCACAAGGACAGACACTCCCTTCTGAGGATGCCACTTTGTTTGAATGCCATTTTACTTGAGCAAATCCTTTTACTGACCTAGCGTGTTTAGACAGAGGTGAGAAATCTGTACACAAGAAAGGGAGAAGCTGAGAATTCACTGTTGTCACTCATTACATACAGTAGCAACCCCACTCTGAGGTTTGCTGTCTGAAATTTCAGTCACTCCTGCTTAACAGTGGTCCCAAAGGATTAAAAGAACAACATGGAACAAAGCATTGCTAAGTTGTAAATTGCATATTGTTCTGAGCAGCACAATGAAGTCTGGCCCATGCTTTATGCCTTGGTCATCAATCAGCTATTCTCCTATAACCCTGCTGCCTATATGATACACACTTCTATTCATATAACAACTTTCTGCTGGTGGGACCTTCTTTTTTCAAGTACCAATTCTTTTCGTTAATAAAGACCCAAAGTGTAAGCGTGTGATGCTGGCAATGTTGTACTATTACATTGCTGTAATAATTGGATTTCATCATTTCCGTTACTGTGCTGATGCTCTTCATTTATAAAGTATATTATAAATATGTGAGCACAGTTAGAAAACAGCATACATACATACATACATACATACATACATACATACGTACGTACATACATACAAAGGCAACAAATCAATAATTTCCTTAGTGAGTTATGTTCTGGTTGCTCACTGGAGGCAAGCCTATTGCTCGCAGAGAAGGGGCAGCACCACAACTCATGGGGTGATTTAAAACCCTTACACCATAGTAACTATAACATATTGACACATGTAAATCAGGGCAGATCTAGTCAGTACAACAATGTCTTCAACTGAAAATATTTATAAAATAAGTATTATAAAATAAACCGGAGAATATTAAAGACCTTTTATGAAAGTTTAGCTGAGAAAAATAACAGAAGGCGACTTTTTTTATAGTAGCGCTTTGTAGTATTTATAGTGGACAAATATAATAATTTTTTTCTAAGAACTATGGGGCCTAGTGGGAGTCACCTTCTCTCTGCAGGTGGGGCATTGTCTGAGGCCTGCACTGTAAGTGCGTATGTCCGTCCCACGATGAGCTCCACTCCTGGTGCAATGCTCACCAGCCCGGTGGTCCTGTTGATGATGAAGTCTCCCTGGGCGCCCACTAGTATTTCATAGGAGATCTCCCCATTCGAGCCTTCATCAGCATCTACCGCAGTCAACTGCATTGAAAGGCCACAACACATATGCTGTTAGAATTCACCACTGTGCTGTTTCCTCAAACACAAGGACCTGATTTCAAAGCTGAAGATACTATAGAGTGTGTTAGGTGAGCAAATGTGTCCACTATGCTTGTGTTTTGTTGTGACCCTGAATCACTGCAGGAACCAGTATTGTTGTTTTGTCCCTTGTGACCATTTTCAGAACAATTTTCAATACTGAACATTGTCTTTATTCTAACCAAATAAAAGGAAAAAGGAGAGAAAGCCTTAATATTAAACACATCACTACGATCTGAGACCAGGGCAAAATAAAAAGGCAAAGCTTGCTTTATTTCCAATGTGCTTCTCTTGGCCCATTTACCCATCCTCGGTGCTCTCCTGCCTCATAACCTCTTCCCACTGGCTTATGATGGTCTGATAGAGCCCACACTACAAAACCTGTTTTCTTTGGAGACAAGAGAATTGTTCTCAGAACCATTGAGATGATGGCATGTAAAGCACCTGTGGATCTGATATGGATGCATTCAAAATCACTTGCAGGCAACTGGCATTTATTGCCTGTGAGAGAAGAATGACCCTTATTAATCCCATAAAGCAATATTAAAGAAATAGTGGTTTATTGTGTTACACAATGTTCCTCCATTTCTTGATGGATACAAAGATGGGAAGGAGTAATTCTGGTAGGGGATGTTACAACCAGCTACTTCATAATCTTTAACTCTATCCTATTTTCACACAGAGTAGTGTGTGGAGGGAATAAGAAGGTGAGCTCACTTTACCCAGGAAGGAAAGCAAAAACTGTCTTTTGGATAAGGTCAGCACATCCCTTCAACCAGTTAGTCCATGTGCTTCCTCTCTGGTCACCTTCCCTTGTCCTTTGCTAATGTCTATCACTCTGACGTCCCAGGTCTTCAAAGTTCAGAGTCTTTGGGGGAGTTGGTGACCTTTGGTGCATATCGTTTCAGAAAATCTGAATGTTGCAGATTTACCTTGAAACATAAATGCTGACAACAGAGAGGCAGTGTTAGCAGATGGCTCATGCTTAATACCATCACGAAATGAGAATTATTCACATACCCATTTATGACTCGCTGAGGAGGCATGTAGCACATATTTTAATTCTCATTATTTTATAAGGGATTGGAGAGATGGCTCAGTGCTTAAGAGCAGTTGTCACTCTTCCAGAAGACCTGGGTTCAACTTCCAGAACCCACATCTGTAACAACCATCTGTAATGCTAGTGCCAGGGGATCTGATGCATGTATCAGGCATGCTAACGGTGTATATACAACATGAAAGGAAAATACATAAAAATATATTTTATACCTGTGGTGTGTGTGTGTGTGCGTGTGTGTGTGTGTGTGTGTGTGTGTGTGTGTGCGTGTGTGTGTGTGTAGGTTAAAGGACAACTTTCAGTAGTTCGTCTTCTTCTGCTATCGCGTGGGTTCCAGGATGAAATACAGGCTGTCAGGCTTGACAGCAAGTGCCTTTCACTTACTGGTCCATCCATCTTGCTGGGCCTCTAATTATATTTTCAATTATTCACTGCTTTTGGAGTGGTGGTGGGAAAGAAATAGCAGCAATAAAAATAGAGAAGACAAAAAGAAATTTAGAGACTGGCATTTAAGAAGGCTACATCCAGAAATTGGTATTTTAGGTAGACAGATGTGGTTGCCACAGGGAAGACATTCCTGAAATGATTCTGGGACTTATGTGGGCTTGACAGACATACAACTAAAGGCAAAGGAGAAGGAGCTATTTGCAGAAACAGTCAAATGAATGATGCGTATTGGGGGAGAACTGGTCCTGTCATGCAAAGCCATGATCTTTGGTGTGAGGATAAAATTAGAACATTAGAGGGCAGGGACCAAGGAGGAGATATCAGTTTTGATTATAGTAAATCACTTACACAAAATGTCTTAGGAAATCTTAATTAAAACTTAGCTCAAAGTGGATTCAATATCAACATTTTTCTTGGGAATTAAATTGGCTAAAGAGATTTAATGATAAATGGCGGTGCATCCGTTTATGAAGAGGAGCTGGGAGTGTGCTCTGGGGACACAGGCATTATGGGTGGTCTTATTTAACATTTTTATATATGCGGTTGGGAGGGAGGCACGGAGAGATGATAATTAAATTGAGGAAGGCACCCATGCGGGAGGTGCCATAAATATCAAACACGGCTAGAGAACACACATGGCAAGAACTCACCTAAATCTGAAGTCAGATTATTACAGATGAGCTAACCTATTCTGCTAAAACCGCAACTAACCCCCCAGAAACTATCAGTCTGTGGAAAGGTTTAATAAATGAACAGAAGTCATGAGTGTATGTTTAAGAGACTTAAACAGTTTCAAACAACCTTGATCTTCTCATTCTGTTTTGAGTCATAAGGTTACTAAGATAATTGAGAATTAATATCATTTTTGCACATCAGCAAACCTTTTTTTAAGACTTTAGCAGTAGACTAGTATTAGATTAGGGTGACGTCCCCTGTAGTATTAGTGTTAGTCTATCCCCCTGGGTGCCAAACCAACACCAACATTTTCCTATATAAAATTGAAAAATCAGCACACATTTCTCTGAAATTCTCAGTGAAGGTTTGGTGTGGATGGCTCAGCTACAGTCTGCATTGTGGGGTTGGGCAGAATTGGAGACGGCACTTTGACAGCTAAAGTGCTCAGTGCCTCCACAATGTGACTTGTGTCCAAAGTCATTAGGTGAGGATGTATGAAACACATTTCTATTATAGAGTGGGGAGAACTGCTTCACAAATTAACAGTAGATGTGGAAAAGACTGACTATATGAAGATGCTAGTGTAGCATCTCTGATGAAATGAAAATTAAACCTTTTTATTACGCTTTAAATGTTTTAATAGCTAAATGATGAATGCTGAGCTATTTATTTCTTTCCCATGGTTCATTGAAGTTCTTTCCATGAAGCTTAACCATACCCTACCATAATTTTTCCCTGCTATTTTTAAAATGTATTTATGTCCCCAGCCTGATGATTTGATCATTGATGCTGCACCTTCCTGGGCATCCTGTGTTGGCCATAATTAGACCCTGGTTTTCACTGAGTAGTTTGTCAATTCCCAATTTACATTTATGTTATATTGACACTCAGCTCCTATAAGACACTGTATGAGGCTGAACCATGGAGTTGTGCATATTTCTGTTGGTCTTGTCTACCATGAGATGAGATAACCTTCCACACAGAGAAAGCAGATCCAGGAATTAAAACAAATATCACTGATATTGGTTGCCTCATATACAGTTATGTCCAAGGTTGAATGATACTGAAATTTCTTGATTCATGAATCAAAACTCTTTCAAGAAATTTAAGTGAATTAGAAAGTATGCCATTTTATGAATAATAATTCCAAATTATATATGAAAAGAGTTTTATAACTGGTTATGAGACACACTAACATGAGGAATAAGTTAGTCACAGGGAACTCTTCTTATTGGTTTGTGCTGGTACATCCCTCTCTCCCCATAATGCATTTGGCACCCTTGCTCTCTAACCCTCCTGCAGTATGCATACTCATGCTTCGCCAGCAAACACCTGGCAACTTTAGATCCCCGCCTTGATTGTATTCTCCTCATGTCCTAGTAGGAGACAAGAAAAGCAAATCTAGCCCAAACTGGTTTTAGGTAGAGGAAAAATTAACGGAAAAAATAGAAAACTGTGTCCTTTACTGAATTTTATTTTATCCCTATGCTTGTTTTGCTGACATATGATTATAATTCTATGCATCACGGGATAGAACAAGGGCAACAGATGAATAACTTAATATGCCAATCAAGATGGAGAACCATCCAAATCCTTCCTAATCAGATCCCTCCTTTGCCTGAATCATAGAAGAGGAAGCCCTAAACAGCAACCATGGCCATGAGTATCTTCACTTAGGTTGCTACTGACTTTCTTGAATTGTATACTAGTATTTTCTATAGCTATGATTTAAATAAAGTTTCCTTTCTATTTTTTCTAAAATATATGCAGGCTTTTGTTTCAATTCATTGAACAAGAAGTCACAAACTTCAAAACACCCAACTGTGATCCATCAGAGACCACAACAGTTACATTCTTGGATTATGCTATGACCTTTGTATAGAATGACTGTGTCCTGATATCTGGGTATGTGGTAAATGTGATCATAAAATTATCTAACCATATATGATGAATTATTAATTATAATGGTCAGAGATTATAATATGAAGATGGTAGCATTACTTTTACTGAGAAATTCTAAGATACTTAGTGAGCATGAAATACAAATGACAGACTTTTCCTTTGTACTAAATTTTAAATTTTAAAGTTACATTTATCTAAATTTTAAATTGAACACATTTTAAAGTGCCTTACTTCTTACTCCTGTTAATATTATCTTTATTATCCAAATTGACTATTTGAACCATATGCACAGAAAATAATAGAGCAATTTGGGGTGAATTTAGTAGTATTTAAAACATTATTTGTCCATTAATGCTCAATTATGGCTCTTCTTACAATGAAGATAAATTTACAAGATAAATAGTGGATGGATGTTATCCTTAAACATGTGAACCTGAGCTCGGTAATTCTGGATAATACTCTATTACTTCATAGGAAGAAAGTTATAAAAGTACTCTACACAAGGCCACATGATAGTGATAATAACAGTGTTAAATTCTAAGCTTGATTGAGAGAGAGAGAGAGAGAGTCATAATCTAGAGGAAACACTCATTTCAGGATGAGTGATGAACACTGCAAAGCTCCAAGGCAATGTGGAAGGAGCTATGGGAAAAACGAAATAAGAACGTGCTGTGCTCGGGAAATTTACTGTTGGATGAGCAAAAAAAAAAATCGAAAAAGGGAACAAATAAATTCATGTTGTTATGAGGATGCCCTTCTGGGAAAGGTAGGCCATGGAGAAACTGGGAGGATAGATTACCAAGCATTCACCAGTAAGATATGGCCATGTAGAAATACATAGATTAGTAGTTATGGATTAATA